TTGCATGCCCGCCTGCGTTTCAGCCACATCCTGTATTAGAGCCAAGTACAAGTGAACAATGAACCAAAACCATCCTCACTTCAGGAACCAACAGCCATTCTAATAGCAACCACCTTTGCACATCAAAATTGCAAATCATTTTAAAGGTATGCTGTAAACATGATAGCAGTGGTACAGAGAACAAGATGAACGTACAACAGTTATGGATAAACCTCAAATAAGTTGTAAGAAAAAGAGACCATGTTTGATGCAATTGCCCAATAGAAGTCTGGCCATGCACATATGTGAAAGATGAAATCTCCAAATGACAGGAGTGAAAATGCAGTCTCTTAATCTCTTGAAACCTGTGACAAACACTATTAATTCTGAAAAAAAAAAGGATATCAAAACAGAGAGTAGTTGTGATTGTGAGTTAGCTCTTGTTCTTATGCATAACATGTTACCTGAACAGAAAACGTTGACATTTCAAGCTGTAGAAAAGAACAGAACATGCAAGCTCATTATTGTTACTAAGTCCTAGGTAAGTTCTCTGTGCCTTTCCTTTACTCAGTTTAATGTCTCCTTCACAAAGTATGGTGGCAACAAATGTTCTTATAATGGTAAAATAATACAAAGCTTCAGAATGCTTATGTTCATTATACATAAACTGTAGGCTGAGGTGGTGATTCTGAGTATTAACAGTGCTTTTGTGAGAGAAGAGGAGATGCAGTTACACAGCAGCATTTTATCAGCCTCTTTTGACTCTACAAAGGCTGCTTATGCTTGCAGCCATACCAGCTGAAGAGGTGACTGTCCCAGCTTGGCTCATACCTTTCCCAGTGTCCATGCCTAGAGTTACAATTATCTTATCTGAGTTACTCCTATGTTGGTTCCTCTAAATTGTCTCAGTCAAAACAACTGATGGCAGCAAGGATTTAAACCAATCTGGTTCTTTGACTATAAAGACCTAGAAAGAAGATCACATAAGCAGACAACCTGGCAAATTTAAGAAAGAGAAAACCTTCAGCAGGGCAGAAGTGATGAGCAATGGTGCAGTGGTAAATTCCCTGAGCAACACAGCTGCAGACAGAAGAGTCCACTGCTTTATTTAACTACTAAACTAAACCTGTGAGAAACATCAAGCAAATACCTCTCACTGCTAGAAAAAGCAGACCTGGTCACTATAGCTGTACAGATCCTAAATGCCCCAAACTCTTGTCTGTCCATAGTCAAATATGCTTGTTTTATGACTATGCCAAGGAAAGACAAAAATGACAGTTCACCAAATTTGATCAGTACCATCTTTGTAGAACTATGACTGTAGCTGTAGTAAAAACCGAGAAGATAGGAATACACTTAATACTGCATGTTGGTATTAAAATTCCTCATCCATAGACAGAAACTCAGCACACATTTACACAGAAAGGCAAACCTTCTGATCACCCAGCTCTTGTGCTGCCTGTAACTGAGCCTCTAAACTTGCCACTTGAGATGTTATTGCTTCCTGTACTTCCTGAAAAGATTTCTGGGTGGTATTTAAGAGCCTCAGCAGCTGTTTGCTCTGATTAGGAGAAAGATCTTGAGCATGTTCAGAAATGAAGAACTGAACATCAAACGCAGTAGACTCCAGTTGCATTTTTTTACAGCCAAGCTCTGCAGCACTGTTCTGTAAACAAACAAAAGAAAATCACTAGCAATGAAGACAAATTCAGCACAAAGAAAAAACAAGTATCTCTACCCTCTTTTCTTAGGTCTTGTTCCAAATACTTTTGGGAAGCAGTTCAACCACAGTACATCAAAACTTTGTGTCAGAATCATTCTGACACATTCAGATATGTCATTTGAATCTGTGCATGGCTTGCTTTTGGGACAGTCCATGTTCAAGTAATAAATAGCATGACCTTGAACAACGCTTTGTTTCTTTTGCTCTTTCAGAACTGGTTGACCACCAGCTCTGGAGGACTTATAGCAGGTTAGGTTTAACGTAACTAGGTTCCAAGTCTGAAGACCCAGAAGTGTTAAAATATTCACTTGAAAGCACTCCTGTTCTTAACTCCACAGAGAGAAGCTCCACTCCCAGCAGTGTGGCAAATTCTGCCCATAGCTGCGAATTGTGCAGCCCCTATGACATTACCATGCATAGTGGAAGCCTACTAAAGCACAGTAAAATAATGTCATTTTTATCATTCATACACACAGAGGTGTATGAACTTTACTAAAAGATTTCATCTGATTTGTTTTTCATTTCTCATTTCATGGAGTGTGTGAAGAGGCTCTTCAACTTTCCGCAGCTTCTGTTTTTACATAGAATAAATTTCAAAGTTAATTAATCTTCACTAAAGATTCTGGACTTCATATAAAGATTCAATTTTAACCACTGAAATATCTGTAGCGTGAATGAAATTTCCAAAAAGGGTTAGCTTTATTGCAACAAATGTAAGCAGAAGCAATAGTTTTCTCAGCCAAATTCCACCAAAAATTTTTTCAAGAGAAAAATCAAATCAACAAAATACTGGATTATCAAGTAGTTGTATTCTGAAGTAATTAGCTCTAGCCATCTGTTTTAAGCAATAAAGGTTAATGAGCAGGTACACAAAACCTACTTAATAATTCATAGTAAGTACCAACATTTATCAGAAGCAGCAACAACTACTATGATGAATACTTACTTTTAATAGCTGTAAACTTTTCTTCATCTCTTCTATATCCTTAGTGTTTACTATGAAGTCATTCATTATTTTACTGTTTTCTGTGATCCAGTCTGAAAAAGTCTGCAGTTTGCTTGAAAGTTGCTGGTGTAATACTGCAAGCTTAGACTGGAAAGGGAAGTTGTATATTTATTTATGCCCCTGGTGTCTACTCACATTTTCTATCATAAGAAATATAATCATACACATATTTTTACATCAAGTGAAAACAAAAGCAAAGCCACATTCCTTCCTTGTAGACAAACTACCTTGAAGAAAATCAACGTAAAAAAAAGTACACTGAGAGAAACATACCATTTCTGAGTCAACAGCCCACACTATTTGTTTTGCTCGTTTTGAAGATGTACCACAGACCACCAAAAACACTTCCTGCAAATCGTCATAGCTTATCTTTAGCTCTTTAAGTTTCTCGTCAGGAATATCCCTGTGACAGGACTTTAAAAACTCTTCTGTCAACCTCATATCCTTTTTTAGGATAATTGCAAAGGTAGCCAGTCTTGATTCAAATGACTACAAAGAGAGGGTACATAAAATGCATTAAGTTACTAAGCAAGAAAAATTTTAATAAAACAATGAAATCTGAATTACTTTAATTATATTTGAAACCTCTCCTGTTTTTATCTAAGGGCTTTTCCTAACATACAACACAGAGATACAAACATGAAGAACACTTTACTTACCTCTAGTTGTTCCAGTTCATCTTTTAATAGCTCCAGGTTGTTACTAATAGGCTCCTGGTTATCTAGCTGGCTTTTCATATCTTGAAGCACTCCCAAATGTCCTCGCATTTTCTCTGTTAATTCTAAACACTGCTGAACTCCATTGACCTGAAAATGAGTTTTAACAATAAGAAAAGGCTTTCTAACCTGACAAGACTTGAAAATAATCACTAAAAGTCCTTGGTTTAATTATAATATATTTTAGATCTATAATTTAATTTTTCAACTATTTTTCCAGTTTAATTATGCTCTCTAGTGCTTGGAAGGACTCACGCAACTCCTTCAACATAGGATATGTAGCACATACCAGATGGTGTTACTTACTCTGCTAGTGGAGATGTCTTCCAGGACTGCTTCTTTTATTCTCAAAACAGGTTCAACAAAACTTTGGGACAGGCTGTCTATCTTCTCATGCTCCTGGTCATTCTTCCAAGCAATAGCTGTGCCATCGGCCAGTGTTTTCTCTTCAGCAATTTCTGATCCAAATTCTGATTCTTCTGTTGAGAGAGGAGTACAAAGCCCATCTACTTTGCCTTTACCCCTATGTTCTGTGGTGATATCAGCAATCTGTGAGCTTGTAAGCAAACCACTTATCAGCTCCTCTAACTTGCTTGTACTTTCAGCTCCAGGTGAGATCTGAAAAATCTCCAGAAATTCAGAATTACTAAGTTTTGGTATGGGAGCTTTCACATCTGTTTCACTTTTCCTTTCACCTGGATCAGACATCTTTTGCTTGCAGGATTCCTGCTTCAGAATATCACGAAGAAGATCAGGACTTCTGCAATCAGGCCAAAGCAATGAAAGAGCATCACTGTCCTTGGGTTCCATACATGGTGCAGTGAACAACAATGCATCTCTACCAGCATTGCTTATTTGCTTGAGATTTGACCCACTAGACGTGTCACTCCTAAGCTGGGTGCTTCTAACCATTGTAAGTAAATTTTGCATTAAAATTTTGGTATCTGAGTAACTCAGGGGTTCACTCTTCTGCTTGCAGTAAACATGTCCCATTTTCAGTTTCCTTTGTACCAGATTATTTAAGTCTTCCATTAGCGTCTCAGACATCTCTGGTGATTGTGAAAAACCTTCTTTTACTTGAAAATCTTTGCAGGGTCCCATTTCCTTTTGCAATGACTCCACAGACATTTGTTTTTTGAAACTATTTCCAAGGGAAGAAGCCTCACTGGTCATAAAATTTTCACCCTTTGTGTTTTTCAGCATCTCATGTTCTCTCTGAGCACCGTAATTCAAGTCAGTCCCTACGTTGCTCAGAGTTGTAGAAGAAACTTCAATGGTATGGGGATGATTCCCAGAAGGCAGCATTTCCTTCCCATCCCCTGCTTCTTTGGCATCCTCAATACTTCCTAAAGCACCTGTTTTTATTGGGGAAAATTCACCAACACTGCTGCTCTTTTTTTCTGAAAAATCTTGAAGAAAATGATCCCTGTTTTGACAGATAGCTCTCCCTGTTTCTTTAGCTATGCTAATTTCCTTTGGTTTCACTGTATCAGAAGGGGCAAAAGAGGAAGCGTTAAATTTACTTGAATCCCTTTCCACCCTATTTAGCAGAAAATCCTTTTCAGTCTGTGCACCGTTTTTCTCTTTTTCCCTGTCCTCTAAGCAACAAGATTCAGCTTTATCCAATTCTGAATGGCCATCTGCTTTTATGTTTGATGTATATTGTTTTGAAGAAGCAGAAACGTTAAAATTTCTCTTAAATTCATTTGATTCAACACCACTTGCAATGTGAAACAAAGACTGACCAACACTCCCTTTGTCTTTGCTTGAAACAAGCATTTCTCTATCAGCTTTAATTACTGATGCATCAAATATTTCCCCAAGGCTTTCCATCTGAATGGGACTTTTGCTTAGCCCCATGATACCACATTCCTCCATAACATTTACTCTACTTTTATTTTCTGTAAGAATTTCTACACCTTTTCTTATTTGGCCATGCTTCCAACTAATGACTGGATGTACTTGGTCACAAAGTGAACTACCACCATCACTCATGTAAGGTGCATCCATGAGGAATTTATTGTCCAATTGGGATGAACTTTCCTTTAGCTGTTCAGTACCAGCCACATCATTTAATAGTTTCCCCTCTGCAAATACTGGTTCTCTCTGACCATGATTTAAATGTAACATTGGTGTGGGACTATTGTTTGTATTCACACTATCAACAAAGCATTCTGAGAGAAGCAAATTTCTCTGCGTACTTTCATCATCGTCATCACCAGTAGCTCCCTTTGTAATGGGGAAGCCTGTTACACTAATGGCAGATGTCACAGTATCATCAAGAAGCTGAGAACTTGGAACATTAAGCTGTGCTATGTTATTTTCTTCACTCTTACAGGATGTCCAATTAGTGTCAAATGCATTTTCAGACTGAATAGGCTCAGTAGTATCTTGTGACATATGTTTACTTTTGACACAAGTCCCATATTCATCTTCTATTTCCTGCTGTCCGTCATCTTCACTTCTACATGTTAGGCCAACACATCTTTCCTCAGAAATATGTGATAAAGATTCACACTTTCCTGAGGACAGTTCTCGATTTTCATGGTTAGGCTGAAATTGTAACGTATATCCTGTCTTGTCGCCTAAAGAATAGCAAGAGTAATCAATATTCTTGTTATTTTCATCACTATTTTTTATGTCTCCTAAGGAAATTAACACCTGGCCACCTTTGTTTATACATTGATGATGTGAATAAAAAATATCCATTTCTTCATCACTGTGTGATGAAGTGTCATCAGCATGTGATGAATCAGTGTCAGAGTCATCATAACTACCATAATCCTCCTCATAATCTTCCTCCTCCTGTGTACCTTCAGATTCATCCTCAGAAGAGTCACTTTGCACTTTCATTTCTTCTTCCTCATTTCTGTCCTGTACTTCTGCTTCGTACATCCATAAAGAACTAAGGTCTCCCTCCATTCTTCCTTCACCCTCCAGAGGAACTGGTAATTTTTGCTCCTTCTCTCCCAAGCTCCCTGTTCCTTCCCTTCCCTCCTCAGGGATTCTTCCAGTACTTTCAGCACTTGCAGAAACTATGTTTACGCTCTCTGGTAGCCCTGCCAGACTTACGTGGACACCCTCTCCAGCATTAGTTGCAAGTTCTTGAAAGGAGCTGGTCTCTTCTCTTGGGGTTAGTAGACCACCTCTCTCCCCTAGAAAACCTAATGGAATTGATGCTTGAGACAATTCTGGCTCTGGTGTGACATCATCCCTCAACTGCAAGGCATCAAAATCATCATCACCTTGAGGAGTGGCATAGGAATCATCATCATCGATTTGTGAAGTATCATAGACATCACTGTCATCATCATCAACCGGAGGTGTTTCATAGGCATCATCATCAAACTCAGAGCTGTCAGCTTCAGAGGCTACCTCACCACATTCATGCTGCAAGCAGTTACTTCCAAACTGTGGGACACCATCACTCCCTTCTACTGATGAGTCAGAACTACTGTCACACACCTGCAACTTGTGGAATGTCAGATTGTTTTCTTCTACTGTTTGCATTAGTACTGTGCTGTTACTGTCCTCTGCAGATGGTCCATTGTGTGTAACAGTATCACCATCCAGTGAAGGCCTGCAATGCACATCTCCCCTGCCTTCTAGACACAGCTCACCCCACGAATCAGTACCATCCTCCAAGGATGGCTTGCCATGTGTATAAAAGTAGTCCTCTAGGGACGGCCTATTCTGTACATCAGGGTAGTCCTGCAAAGGTTGTTCATTGTATTTGTCATCTTCAAACTGTAGTGTGTCACCACAGTGACGAACCAGTTCTTCTGGAGGTCTACACTTAGTATCTGCACTGACGGATGAACCAGAACTTTTGTGATAATAATCTTTTTTGCTGTTATCCAATCCCATACTGCTACTGTCACCTTGCAATAGGTGAGGTTCGTATTTTGTGCACCTTTCCAGTTCTCTCCAGGTTTCATTATCTGTCAAATCTTTCTCACTCACTGAATTTTGTAAGAGTTTATCATTTCTATTTTCATTAGCCAGACTGTCTGCCATATAAATGTCTTTGTACTCTGTTTCTGAAATAAAATTTGGATTTGAACCATCTGGAAGATACCCCTCAACATTCCCTGACCTTGTCTTCTGACTGTTAGGCTGACGTAGTTCTGTCCACTCACAAACCTCTAGAAGATCTCTGTTCATGGAATTTTCTGTGTTACTGACTACACTTCTAAGATCTGTAGGGTTAATTAACAGCCTCTCACGTGTATATTCTGATTGCTGAGTATCAACAGCATTGCAAACATCTGGCCTGCACACATGGAGACCTTCTCCCTGTGAAGATACACAATTCCCAAAATCTTCAAACTGATTTAATTCCTTATTGTCCAAAGTATTTTCAGCACCTGAAAAACCACCCTGAACAGTGCCTGTGACACTGTTAAGGTGGACATTGCCAGTCAACTTTAGGTTAACTCCTTTTGGGCTTATGTATTTGTTATCAAACTCCATTTCTGACGCATCAGTGTTGTATACAGCGCCATCACCATCCACCAACATACTGATGGCTTCTCGCAGTTGTCCATCGTACAGTAAAAGTCTTCCTCCAGTGTTTGCGTCCATATAACTATTAACCATCAGATAAGAGATGAATAATTTCTTAGCTTGATCTAAATTGTGACACACAGGGTCTTCTGTGCCAGAATCCTCATGTTCCTCCTCACAGTCACGAGATACAGATGGCAGGAATTCATACGTTGATAACCATTTTGCAGCACTTTTACAAGGGGACTCTAATTCTTCTACATTGGGCATTTTATCCGGCAAAATCACATTGGTCAAAATAGACAGAGCATTGATGTCTATTATCCCTGATTGTGCAGCTTTATCTAGACTGACTATTTCACAAGTTTCTGGAATGTAAAGTGCAGCTATCTTCTGTCTACCATTCAGTATTTTGAATGCCAGCTCATTTGTTATCATCTCTTGGTGCAAAGAAGTTGATACGGGAAATATTTCACCAGTGTGAGGCCAAATTAGTCCAACAAAGCCTCTCTGTGCTTCTAACACCAGCAGTGCACTGCTAGATGATAGTAAGTTGCATTGCACAGCTTCATCAACAGTCAAACGTTGTCCTGAATTTGGACAAAGGATTCCACCAGTCTGAACCTGATGTGTGAGGATCCCACAAGCAGTGTCCTGATCTATCATCCCTTGTTTCATGGCCTCTTCCACAGTCACTCGCTTCCCTGAGTCAGGGTCAATTATACCTCCAGACATTAACTGAGAGCCCAGCAGCCTGAACATTGTTTCCCGATCGATGAGTCCTTCATGGGCTGCCCTCAGAATAGTTACCTTCCTTCCACATTTGAACGTGATTCTACCTTTTTCTTGTGGTTTCACAGGTAGGAGTCTTAACCCTGTTTCTTCATGGATTATGCTTCTATGAACCATTTCTTCAAGGGAAATCTTCTCAGCACAGTTGGGATCTATAAGTTCTCTACATGTGCCTCGTCTTTCCAGAAGCTTTGTATATAATGTTGGAGAAATGAGGTTTCTCTGGAAAGCATTCTGCAAAGTCAAGTTTTCTCCAGTATGCGGCAAAATCAAATGCCCACTTGAAAGCTGATTCTCAAGAATTTTAATAGCCAAAGGTTCTGAAATCAAACCTTGTTCTAAAGCTGATACAACTGGAAGATTTGATAACGATGACTCTGAAATAAGCTTCTTTGCGTTACTTAATTCCTGCAACTGCAACAGAGTCTGCTCATCAACTAAGGCATGAGCTTTAGCTTCTTCCAAATCATAACATACTCCTAATTCTGGAGAAATCATTCCAGAAATTATCAGCTGATTCTCAAGCAATCTAATTCCAGTGTCATAGTCAATAAAACCTTTTAGAATAGACTGAAAAACTGAAAGGACTTCTCCAGTTGTTTGGTCAATGACACCAGCAATGACTTTTTTCACCTAAAAAGGAATACAAAAGAACAACTATCATTATTTTCAGCCTGTGAATTTTAAATTCTCTTTTATATTGAATGCATAGTAAGCATAAAAACACGTACTTACCAGGCCTGGAGGAATGCAGTGAATGTTAGCAGCTCAAATGCGCAAGTGATCTATGTCAGTCACTCAACAGCACACGATGTGATAAGAGATTTAAAAATCAACATGCATCTGTGAATTGAAAACCTATGCTTTGCATACATAAATAGGGTTAGTGAAAGACAATAGAAGAAATGATTGCAGAGTGAGCAAATAGGGCATATACCTGAAAGGCAAATGTTCATGCTTGAAATGTCTGTGAAAGGTTAGACTATTCGGAAACAGTATGTGATTCAAAACAACCATGCTATTCATGTTTACAGCATACAGCACTTCTATAAACACACTCAACAATATGGAATCAGATACTCCAGCACCAAATATTCCATTTAATTTGCATGGAAAGTATGTAGTCAGTTTGGCAACATTATTTGAACTCATTACACAGACACTGCCTCTGTGAGAACACTCATTTGCAAAATAATTTTTGAGAATTTCATATTTAAGCTCAAGATCCATTAACAAATGTATTTGTAGTGTTTCAGAACTAATTGTATTATGTGCTCCCACTTTCATATCCAGATAAATCTGAAGAAAAACTGAAAGTAGATCTAGGACATTTCTGAGTGATATATGGGAGAGATTAACATGTTATTTTATGGTGTCATTTTTGCAGCAGAAACACAGACTTATCTAGCAGTCAAAGAATGGCTTTTAAGAGAAGAGTTAAGAGATGAATGACTTGTTTATCTTTCTTCATGCAAGGCACACATTATTAAGACTTCACAAAAAAAATCTGAAGAGCAGAATGTTCATATGCGCAGGTAAGGTCACACACAGTATTCCACAGCGAATACACAAATCCTTCAGCCAATTAAATCTTTTTTCTTACACACTGTTAATTGTAGTTTCTTCTTTTACTGATCAGGTGTGGTTCCAAAACCATGCAGTAAATTTCAGAATAGACTGAAATACAAGTTTTAGCCTTGTTACCTTTTCTTCCATCTTTTCATCACCCAGACACTGTGCTTCCTGCAGCTGCTTCGAAGTTTCATTGGATAACAAGCTGTAGCTCTCCTGAAGGGATCTGACTTGCTTTTCCATTTCATTTTTCTCTTCATCTGTCATTCTATTAAAAAAAAAAAAACAAACAGGAGAACTTAGTAATTTGTAACCTGCAGGGAGTGGTCTGCTGCTTACCTTTACTTAAAAGGGGGGTGAGTGGGGTGGAAGTAAAAGTAGTCTGAAAAAAAATACAGACTAATTATGAGGATGCTCCAAGAAAGCTACAACCTGCTTGTACTCATTCAGGGAAAGCACCTCCATTACTATTCATGTTAAATTACCATTGAAGCATCTAACATTCGTATGTGCCTTTGGCTACTGATTACCAGTCCAGAGAGGTAACACAGGCTGCAAGGAGCCATGAGATACCCCAGCAATTTAGTACCTTAAACAGTGATTTCAGACACAGATGAAACAAACTTGTGATATAAAGTTCAAGTAGTAATTTACTACTGATTCGTGAATTATTTTGACTTAAAATGACAATTACCATCTAATATTTTTTAAGCTGACCAGAGGTACACAAACTTTGGCAAATCCTTGAAATAAACAAAACGACATCAAGTTTTCTTAAATGGAAGAATTATAAAATAACAAAATTACAAAACTAAGGAAAAACCCTGGGATATTGGTACAATAATTGTAATTTGCACTGCAAGATGAGGAGAGGATTAAGTAAATGGTTACATACTGATTCAATGAATTTACATTATTTCAAAAATAAAAAATAGCATACTTGTCACTGTGCTTAGCTAAAAATGACTGAGTAGTCTGCAGAGCTTCAGCTATTTGTTCTTTCTTGTTTGACATTTCATCCAGGGAAATCTGAAAAAATAAAAAACATGCTCAAGACTCAGCTATGTGGATTTATAAAAAGAAAAGCGAACAAAACCCGCAGCAATTCTAGCTAGGACTAAACTCAATAGTAAAGGGAATTGGCTATTCTCAGAGCAATATTATTTACTACAGATTTGTATAATTTATGTACGGATAAGTCATTGCTCTATGTCTTCTGGTTAAATAAGCTGTTTGTGTTAGAAAACTACGGGATGAGACAAAAAGATTTTATTTTAAAATGTTATTTGTTTGAAAATTAACTAATAATTTAAACCTAATTATTACAGGTGGCACAGTTTAAAGTAGCTTTAAAAAGTTATGTGTACAATGGTCACATGTTCAAGAAGTTGCTCACCATGACGTGAGAGAACTTTTTTTTTAAAAAAACCACACATCCCAGAAGCCCACAAATCTTCATGCAATATGACGACAGTGACAAATCCAGTATCAGACAGTTGGAAAAAATGAGTTAATTATTAGTATTCTCCCTGCTATCATTTCTGTGTTATCCACACTAAAGCACTTGTTCTGGCAGAGGAACTTGCCAGAATTTTTTATTTTTCTGAGAAACTACATGCAGTCTCTTCAGAAAAGAGAACTCAGATAAATAAGGCAAAGTATCAAAGTACTTTCATTAGCGAGCCCAAGATACGTTCAGCACTGGTGCTACAAACACCAGCAAGGTGCTTGGGACCTGCATTCACCTGGGTGTGGACACAACCAACTCTGTCCCTCTGTGCATCGTGTCAAAGGGCCTGAACATGATCTTGAACAGTCTGCCTCTGCAATCACTGCCACTGAGCCACAACCCCAGTTGTGCTGCTTGGACAGAAACCATGACAGCAAGCACTGTACAGACCACACAAGAAGGTGACGTGAGCAAGCTGAGTTAGCAGGTGGAGTCATGGGCTCGCCCCTTAGCTCAAGAAACTGGAATCGCTGTGGCTGCTGTGTGTGCATTGTCACTAGTGGCACCAGCTCCTCCACCCACTCCACGACTACACCCCACAGCAAACCACTGTGTGAAATATGTTTCAGCTAATGTTAGCTATCGAGTCACTAGGCTACGTGTTTCAACAAAACTTGTCAAAGCCCCTGTGCTGGTCAATGAAGACACAAAACCAGGCACCTCTGGAAGGTGACACTGCCTTGGCCTGGCTGTTTCACAAGGGAAGGAAACACCCTCAGCAAATGCCATCTCCCACAGGCTGGAGGAAGCTGAGGCAGCTAACTCACAGGTTACTTGCTGAGGGCTGAGTCTGCACAGGGAGGCTGCCAGCTATGGCTCCTGTGGTAAGCTCAGATGCTCAACGTTGACAAAGGTTTGCACCATTGTCATTGACAAGGATAAGACCAGCCTTCCATGTTTTTGCAAATACTGATCCTAACTATTAGTTATTTGCTAATCAACACGCTCAAATCGATACAAGCTTACGTTCTCCTAAAGGTACAGGGACAAACTGAGAACTAGCACTGATCCTCTACAAATAAGGAACACACTGGGACCGGTGGCCATTGGGACTGCAGGACTGTCAACCTGCCCAGCAGCACACTTGACTTACGCACATGCTGCTCCAGTGGCTCTAATCAGCATCAGCATGTGTGACCAAAACAAAAATTCAGGAACAGGCTGTCAGGATGGCCAAAACCATGTTTGCATGACTACACATCCAGCCCTCTACCAAGAGACATGGAAAAGACACTACTCCCTCTCCCCACTGCTCCGTGTGCAAAGTAACCTTCAGCCAGTGAAATCTCCTGAGGTCTCACTAAGCTGTTTTGTTGAACAAGCCTAGCAGGGGAGCTCTTAGAAATTACAAGAAGCTTCCAGATGGAAATTTATGGTCAGAGTTACAACTGCACACAATGGCAAGATACCTGCTAACTGCAAAGGCTGCAAGATGGCCCACTCCAGCAGCCTGTGGACTAGTGTGATAATGAAGAGGGCCCACTCAACACCTGTTCTACTCTCTAAGACAGCAGTTCTGACTATCCTATAAGAGGACACCTCAAATTAGCTTTTTAAAAGCAAATAAAAACAAATGTGTCCCTCAGGTCCCTCCTGCCAACCCTCTCCTTCCTGTTGCCAGAGCAGAGGTTACTAGACTTATTCACTGAAGTACTTCAGGGCAAGGAGGCAGATCTACAAAGTGACATCTTGCCAAGATACACTGTTCCTCTACAAAGGCCAAGTTATGGTATGCAGGGCCTAGTTTCTCTAAGCAGACGTTTTGCAGTGTCAGAATACATCACACATCTGGCTTGTAAGAAGTGGCTTGAACTTCTTCCTGAGTAAAATGTTTCTGTTCCTAACATTGGTATCAATTTACTCAACCCTCCACTCATGACCAAACATGAAATATTATCTTTAGTAAAACATGGATGTTGATTTGGAGAGAAAAAAAGCATTTATGGAATATCTTGTCACTTTAATCAACACAAAAAAACTAAAAACTACCGTTTTGCCACAAGACATCTGTGTACCTGCTGCTTAGGCAAATCTGTCTTTTCAGACTTTTCTCCTTCTTTGCTGAGTGTCTTACTGAGGTCTGACATCCATTTCAGTAAATATTCAGCTTTCTCAACATGTTCTTTCTTTTCTTCTTCCATTGATTTCTGATGGATGAGCACCGTAAATTGTAAAAAACATGTAAAGATAAATTGTTGGGATATTTAACATCAATGTCCACAGAAACACAATTCTACCACAATGGCGGTATTATCACATATACAAAGTGGTTTCTTTTTATTTATCACCACATGCAACACTATGACACTTTGACAGAGGAAAAAAAAAGGGCACACAATTATAGACATTAACAAAATAATTGCTCAAATGATTTGTAATTATGATGTGATTATCCATACACAGGTACATTCATTATAAAATTACTGATATTAAGAAAAGGTATAGCTTCCCAGCCATTACTCAGCAGATAAAATCTAAACATTTGCATATAAAGTATCTTTGAACTGCTGCCTTTGCATTACCCTCAGGTGTGGATAGGTACAGTCATCACAGAGTATCTGTCTTTTGCAATCTATGCACATGCATTACTAAATTACAACTAGGAAGAATCACAGAATATTTTGGGTTGGAAGGGACTTTAAAGACCATGTAGTTTCAAGCCCCCTGCCATGGGCAGGGACACCTCCCACTACACCAGGTTGCTCAAAGCCCCATCCAACCTGGTCTTGAATACATCCAGTGATGAAGTGATGAAGCATACACAACTTCCCTGGACAACCTGTTCCAGTGTCTCACCACCATCAGAATGAAGAACTTCTTCCTTGTATCTTTCTAAAGCTACCCTTTTCCAGTTTGAACATATTACCTCTCAGGAACAAGAACAATAAAAACACCAAGGCATTTAAACTTTTTCTGAATAGGAAAGTTTTTATTGGTAGTACAACTTGTTAAGTAGTTTGAAATTCATCATAACTTAGAAAATATGCTTAAATCCCCCAAAATGAGTACTAATATCTTTGTTCCACTAAGAATTGTAATAAAGACTGGAAATTCCCGTTTTACTGGGCTGAGCTGCTTCTAACAACCACACCCCAGTGTAACAATCAAAACCAGCTCCCTCTAAGGCATCTTCGTAGGTTAATTTCACCCTCATTTTGGGGGCACATTAAACCTTAATATTTCATCTTTCATCTTTGTAGCTGTGACAGCGTCAATAACACCACTCTCAACTGCATCCTTTATTGTTAATCTGGAATGAAGCTTTGGACCTATCAACCCAGCAGTCAAGTCCTGGTACTCCAGGCAGCACAGGCCCATTTCTTGGCCTATAACATTCAAATGCATAGTTTCAATAGCTGATGTAACTTGTGTTCCACACAGGGTGAATGATCCTAATCAAGATCAGTTCATAACGCTGGATTTGTTCAGCACAACCACCATCGATTAACTCCCTTTACAAAGTTTTTGTGTGAGGTTTTTAAGGCTGAAATTCTTAAACTGGTTTCAGAAAGCTAGAAGCCTGCAACATGACTGTAGCTAATTAAAATGTTATCATACTCTTCAGCTGTGATTAAACCCTCCGATATTCATTGACTAATGCCCTGTCCATTTCACCTTAAGGTCTCCTAGATACTAAGCTGTACACTAGTTTTAAGATCTGTAAGCAGAAGAAAAGAATTCCCAGAGTCAAAATGCACAGACTTGTAAAGATCAGATTCCCATTTTGAAAGCTCAAGATACGTAGCTTGATCAACAAAATTTTTCTTATAAGCCTCGAATGAAGTCATTTCAGCTCCTGTTTTGACATCCACTACAGAAATTTTACGCAAGTTCTCTGCTGATAGACTGCTTATTTTCCTTTCACCAACTGGCAGCAGAAAGCATTTACTGCTTACACTGAGCACACATAATTTCAGCAAATCACAGTAGCACATAGCTTCCCCGTTACTTGGATTGTGAAAACATTTTGCACTACTAGAAGGTTCATGCAAAAATTTTAAAATGGTGTTACTAAGCAAGCCAAGCTGCACAGCAGTTTCTGGAGGTACACGAACACTTCTTACAGGATCAATGACCCCTCCAGTTGCAATTTGAGCTTCAAGGATATTTTTACCTTTTTCTCTTTCTAAGATTTGAGCTTCCATAGCCTGATACACAGAGATCACTTTCCCAGAAGAGTAATAGCCCAAAACAGCTTCCTCTGCCTCAAGCAATCTAATCTTGAAGTCATTATCAGCAAGCCCTACCAAAACCGCATAATCAGTAGAGCATTTCCGACCTGTTGTGGGATCAATGATGAAACCAGTAGCTGCTTGGGCCTCCAAAAAAGCTAATGCCAATGCCTTTCCTATGATTCCCCTCCTCACTCCTGAAGCAAAAGAGACGACCTCTTTGCTGGATTCAAGGTAGAGCCCAGCTATAGCTGTAGGTTTAGATAAAAATTTTTCAAGACTTTTCTGAACCTCATCAATAGTTTTCTGCCCTGAGAGGATCTGCTCAACCGTGAAGCTGTCTAGAAGTTTAACTTCGCATAACTGTCTGGCAGTTACATCACGTCGGAGACCTTGAAATTTAACATCATCATATGCCGCAGTCAGATATTCAAACTGAGGAGCATCATCAACAGTTTTCAAAATATCTTCCTCCAAGACTGAGCTTGTCTTTGCAAAGTCTTCTTTCCTAAATCCTTCAGATGTTTTATATCCCTCAGACATTACCTCTTCATTACCAAAAGTCTTGTCATTTTCTTGGTTTAATGTTTTGACTTCAACATGCTTTGCATACTGCTTGTTCTTCGCTATCTGTAAATAGGAATTTTTTTCACACAGTGAGTAAAACATCTGTAGAACTATGCAGTACGTCATTCACTCCTAAATCCATCATCAGAGAAACAAAAGGGAGAACTTGAATCTAAGTCAGAAAGGAGAACTGCTGCCGGCACTGGACAAACAAATACAGATAGCTAGAGTTTTAAAGTGCACTTTAAGTCCACTTCAGATATTTATTCAGTAAAAGGAATATGACTGGACTAAGACACAATAACTCTTGACTGTTACAGTAAGAACTTGGAGCCATTAAAGCTTATTTTGACCAATAATGATACAAAGGGGTATATCAATTCTCATTTCCAACACAAACACAAAAAATAATGTGCTTCTTAGGTATTAACAGGTATTTTCTAACGAAAAGCTTTTTTGTGTGTGTGTCAACTTAGAATGAAGGGGTTCCCTTCATCAAGGTAAGAAGAAACATTAGAGAGAATACATAATAGTCATAATGTATAACAAAAAAAACCAACCAAACAAACAAATATAACAGTAAAAAACAGCTCTAGGAAAGCAAATCCTCTCAAAACATAGTGTGTACCTCCGAGGGTTGCAGTTTCATGCCTTCTCCATGTCTAGGAGTTTGTCTGGAACTGTGCAGGTTCTTGTTTCTCAGTTCATCCCTTTCAGATGTTCCAGAGATTGGGCTTGCTTTATCAAAAGTTATCTGGAGCTGCGTGCTTGTTTGAGAAACAAGATCTGTAAAAGATTGTGGGCTTGCATCTTCCAATGACTTGCTTATTGTTGACGTGTGGAACTGCACCTCTCTCGGTCTCATATTATCGGCAGTCACATACAACGTATTTTCTTCTACCTGATCACATTTAAAATCTGGCCTCTCCTGGTTTTGCCTTAAAGAAGGCGAGCTAGGGTTTTTTTGATCTCTTGCATGTGGAGAAAACTGTTCAAGTTCTCTAGTTTTGGTGACACTCTGGTAATCGACATTATTCCTTCTTTTCTCAGAGCTCAATTTAAAATCAGAACAATGGAGTTTGATATTTTGCTGAACTTCATCCTGAACCAGAGGAAACCTGAGTTTATGCTCCCTGCTCCTCAGGTCCATCTCCTGTTTCAAGCGCTCAATAACACGTTTGTGAACTCCCAACTCTTCCTCAAGTCTCCTGCACTTCTGGTGAGAGTCCTTTTCAGCCTGCTTCGCTTGCTCAAGCTGCTCATGGCATTTTTTAAGCATTCCTTGCAGATCTTCCATTTGTGTCTTGTACAACAGGATGGTTTTCTCAGCCATGTGCTTTTTCTGCTGAAGAGCAACACATTGCCGTTTTATGCCAGACATGTCCTTTTCTGTGATGCTATGGGATTCCTGTAACTTTTCAACTTTTTTCCTAAATTCCTCTGAACATTGTTTAAACTTAATGGATTCTTCCTGAAACAGAACCATCTTCTTGCATGCTATTTCTTCATTCAGAGTCTTCTGATGAACTTCAGCCTGTAATTTTTTTAATTTACTACTTAGATCTTGGATATGAGCTTCTTGTAGTTCTCTCTTCTGCTCACTCCCTCTCTTTTCTGTAGTTAGAGCATTAATTTGGTCATTGAGATTTTTAACTTCCTTGTCAATGGTTAGGATATAAACACTTTGTTTGTCACATTTTTGTTTATATTCACTAGCTAAGTGTTCAGCTTTTGCTAGATCAGCTTCCAGACTTTTGATTTTATATATGAATTCTTGCTCAATTATTGTTTGCTTGTGCAGTTGTTCATTTGTTGTATACAGTTGCTCTTTGAAACCATCTGCTAGGGCTTTTAATGCATCATTTTCCTTCTGAATACTTTGTTTTTCCAAAGTCAACTTCTCTGATTCAGACTGAACTTGTGTCATCAGTAGTTTTGTTTCAGTATTCACTTTATTAAGGTCCTCTATCTTTTGTTTTAATGTTTCTGACATCTCATAACTTTTGGCTAATTCGTTCTTCAGCATCTGAATTTCCCGATGGTTTTCCTTCTCTGCTTTTGTGTTTTGAAGCAACTGTTCCTGAATTTCCTTATATTTATCTTGAAGATTATTGGCTTTTTGTTTCCATGTCTCTGCTCTGTGTTCAGATGCCAGCTTCTCTTTTTGAAGGGAACTGATTTGTGAATGTAAACGTTCAACAGCGATTTCAGTTTTTGTCTGTGATCTAATTAATTCCTCAACTTCTCTCTTTAGCTGTGTTTTTTCTTGTTGGACAGATTTCAGCTCCTCCTGATAGCTCAGCTTAATTTGCTTAAGATCTGCAACTTCTTGCATCACGTCTTCAGCTTTGCCTGTGGTTTTATGTAGCTGCTTGTCCAGTTCTTTCAGCCGTTGCAAATAACCCTGC